CCCGGCGCCCGGTCCCCCACCAGCTGCGCTGGCCGTGCCTCCTTTCAGGGAGCGGCGTGGTCGCCGTCCTGCTGGTGGCGCTGCTCCTCGACCCCATCGGCGACGCTCCGCGGAAAAGCGAAGGGGGGGCGCCGCCTCTTCGGTCTACGCTGCTCTCGACGTTCCGGCTCTGCCGGGACCGGCGCCTGCGCCTGCTGGCCCTGCTGGCCCTGTACAGCGGCTTCGAGCAGGCCTTCCTGGCCGGCGACTACACCAGGGTACCGCGGGCCGGGCGGGGCGCCCCCGTGGCTGGCGCAGGGACCCCGCGGAGGCACACTTCATTTTAGAGCCNCCCCCACACCAAGCCCTCTCCAGAGGGTGTGCTTGTGGCCATCTGTGAATCTGCACCCACACGTCCTAATCACCCGAGTCCCTGGCTCACATGGGGCCCCTCTTGGTGCTGGACATCCTGTGTGTTTGGACAGAGGGACAGTGACGTGCCACCATTCCTGTCACACCGACTGTTGCCCAGCTGCTCGGAGCTCATCCCCCTCCCCACCGAGGGGACCTGCCCGACCCCCAGGAAAAGCTCGGATCGGCCTGTGTAAGGGCTGAGTAGGCCGCTCAGCCCGTCCAGACGTCTGTCCTCGGGGTCCCCGCCGGCTCTTAGGCAGGGCAGGGCTGTCCCACAGCATCAGCCCCGCCCTCTGCCCCGGGAGCCGGGCTGGGCAGAAGGCTCAGGCCAGTTGAGCAGGACAGCTGACCCCAGCAGGACGCGTGTCCGCAAAGGACCCAGCGAACCGCGAGGAGCGCTGGGCCCGGGGAGGCTGTGACGCCCCGTTCCCCCCACAGTCCTACGCCACCTGCGCCCTCGGCATCCACTTCGTGGGCTACGTGATGATCTGCTTCTCGGCCACCAACGCGCTGTGCTCGCAGCTCTACGGGAAGGTGTCCCAGTTCACGGGCCGGATCGCGCTCTACGCATTCGGTAGGCGGACCCTCGCCCACCTGGCTCCGCGGGGCTGGCGCTGGGGGGTGCCCCACTGCAGGTGGGGCGACGGGGCCGGGGTGGGGCCAGCGCAGGGTTTCGTGTAGGCAAATAGAGGGATGCCCTGACCGCGGGGTGAGGGTGTCTCGGTCCTTGGGTGAGGGGCGGCTCCCGAGGGGCGTGACCTGCAGTCACCTGGTGCGTGAAGATCACCTGGTGATCTGTCAGAGCTGACCCACTCCCAGCTCCCCACACGGCACCTTCACCTGTCCTGGGAGGGGGAGAGGGTCAGAGACAGCGTGAGGTGTGAGATCTCAGGGTGTAACGAAACCGCGGCCGGCTGCTGGTCAAGGCCCAGGGGTCTCTGTCAACAAGCCCACTAGGGCCACGTAGCCGGCATGTCCTCGGTTCCATCCCTACGCCACCCTGTGGAGGAGGCTTTGCAGTCGGGGAAACTGAGGGACAGAGACGGGTAGTGACTTGCCCCAGGCCACACAGCCTCAGGCGGCCAGCGGTCTCCGGAGCGTCCCAGCTGCTATGTCGCTGCATCCTGGATGCACAGGGTCAGCAGAAACACGAGCCATTAGGGTAAAGTCGGGGGGCTGAGCCCGGCCTCCCCTCCCTCCTCCCCTCCCTGCCTGGAAGACCAGCCTCCAGGGTGGGCACACCCCTCCCGTCTCCGGAGTGGAGAAGCCCTTGGCGCTCTCTGCCTGGACCCTCATGATTTGGGCCCCTCGGCCCAGGCAAGACCATGTTTCCCTCTGCAACTCTTCGCCCCCCTGCCCGGCGGCGAGGAGGCGAAAGGCCAGAGGTGAGCAGAGTTGCGACCAGACTGCGAAGCGCACACACCGGCCGCACCGTCAGCGCCAAACCCACCTGCAGGAAACAGCCTGGTGCATTTCCAGGAGGCGCTGCTCACGCCAGGAGGCGACGCCCAGGGTGCCGGCGTGGCCCTCACCTCCCGCGGTTCCCCCCCCTGCCCCGCAGGTGCGGCCACCCACCTGTCCTGCATCATCGCCCTGCTGCTGTGGAAACCGAACCCCGAGCAGCTGGCCGTGTTCTTCGTGTTTTCTGGCCTCTGGGGCGTGGCCGACGCCGTCTGGCAGACGCAGAACAGCGGTGGGTGCACAGAACAGGGACATCCCCGCTCGGGCCCCTAACCTGGGCAGCCGGGGGGACTTGGTGAGGGTGAGGACCCGCCGGCTCGGGGGCCCCGGGGAGACGCGGAGACTCGCCAGCCGGGAGAGCAGAGCTGGGAGCCAAGCAGACGTCACGGACGTGAAGTTTTCCTCTGAGCGTTTATTCAGGTCCATGGTGTGAAAAACCATCGGCCCAGGGCACGAGTCCCCGTCCTGAGAACCACGGTTCTCACGCGAGGGGCACTGTGACCTGCCCCGAGTGCCCGGGGCTGGCCCGGGAGGGCAGAGGTCCACAGGGCAGAGGAGGGGCGGGGCCGTCCCGGGTCAGCGGGATTGCTGGCTGCCTGCAGGGCGGTGGCTCAGGAGCCCGAGAGAGCAGAGGGGGGCGGGGAGGGGAGACAGCAGGCTTGTCTTGGGTGATCTTGTGGGACGTGAGGCCACGTGGCAGGACGCGAGGAACACAGGAGAGGAGAGGGCCTGGCCCTGGGAGCCGGGGTGAGTGACACTGGACTGTGGGAGCCTAAGGGCCAGGGTGGAGGTGCAGGTCCACGTGCTGTGGGAGGGAGATGCCCGGGGACTGGGGGCTCTTCCGCTGGGCCGGGAGGACTGGACGGAGGCCACCGTGTCCCACGCCGCGCAGGACAGCCAGGACGGCCTTGGGGGGAACCTGAGTGGTCAGGGCAGGAGGAGAGGGCGGCCCCAGGCCCAGGGAGTCCCCTGCGGCTCAGAGCCGGGAGGCTCAGGCAGCCCCATGGGCACCGGTCGTGTCAGCATCACCCATGGGACTCGAGTGTCAGGGAGGCGCCGGTGGGTGCTGCCGGGTCCTGCTTTCCACAATAAGACGAGAGGGTTTCGGAGGGAGCCACTGGAGAGGAGGGACCGGGTGTGGGGGCAACCCACGGAGGACACAGGGACAGCACGGCTGCCTTTGGGTGGAGGCTGGAAATGAGAGGGGTGAGGGTGGGCGCTGGGCCCCGGGCTCCCCGCAGACCCGTCCACAGCCCGGCGCGGGAGGGGGGCTGTTGGGGTCCCCGGGAGGCCGCCATCCGTGCCCCTGGAGATCTGCAGCTGGTGAGGTGCCCAGGGCCCTGGGCGCTGGCTTCGGCGCGGAAGACAGCCCTTCCCGAGTAGACATCACGTCCGCCTTTACCCGGGAAGCACCCGGGGACAAGAAACCGGGCACGCCCGTCCCCAAACAAGCCAGGAGCCCACGTTTCCAGGACGGAGGCCTGGCTGCCCCCCTGCACCGAGGAGAGTCATGCCCATGACCTCACCGGCCGTGGGCTCAGGTCCCTGGGCGGCTTCTTCCTTAAAACAGCTGAGAAAACATCTCCAAACAGACCTAAGGCTGGTGGGTTTCCAGGGTTTGGGTCCCACGATCGTTTCCGCTGGCTCAGGGGCTCGGGCGGCTTTCGCGAGGCTCTGAACCAGGTGACACGTGGTTGGCTCAGGGCTGTAACTGGCGCCTGGGTCAAGGTCCACAGCTCGGGGGAAGGAGCGAAACTCCCCGCAGCCAGGCCCACGACTGCCCGACAGCAGAAACGCGATTCAGGGAGAGGGAGGCAGAGGCTCCCCAGCTTTCCTTGGCGCGGGAATTGTAAGCCCGTGGCGGCCGGCCCTGCGGGAATTCCGCCCACCTTGCCGCCGGGTGAGCACGGGGAGGGCGTCCGTCAGCACCCGAGGGGCGTGAACGACGCCGGCGTTTTACCGACCGCCCCGCGCCCGCCTTGCTCCCTGAAGCGTTAGCTGGCGTGCCTGAGCTCCCCGGATTTTAAGCGTATTTACGCGCACGAGCCAGGAAAGGGAATGGGATGGGAGGCCACAGGCCCTCTAGGCAGCTGTTCTGCGGGAGTTTCACACGACTGCAGTGAAAATGCCTGGCTTCCTCCCCGAGACACAGGGGTAACTGCCCGGTTCTCCCTGTCCCGTCGTGGGCGTAAGAGGCTCGGCAAAGCGACGTGAGGTCCGATGAACGGCTCGGATAAAGACTCGAAGAAGGGATGCTCGTTTAAAACGCACGATTTCTGGGTTTTTTTGTATAGATAAAAAGTAATTTTTTTTTCAGGGAAAGATCGGTTGTGGGGGAAAGCTGTTATTTTCCTACATTTGAGAAGCTCCTCTACTGGCCGTGGTTTCAGCGAGAAGTGATGTTAACTAGCCAGGCTCCCCGGGCTCCCCAAGAACTCGCCACCCTACGCTGTGACGATGTTTTCTGTATTTTTTAAAAGTGGAAGTTTTGCGTAGCTTCTGCCACCTCTCAAGGGCCCCTCACTTGTTTTCGTTTTTCTTTTTTTTTAAATATATTTTTATTGATTTTTTTAGAGAGAGGGGAAAGGAGAGGGAGAGAGACAGAAACCTCAATGATGAGAGAGCCATTGACCGAGCCCGCAACCCGGGCACGTGCCCTGACCGGGAGTCGAACCCCAATCGCCTGGATCCTACATGGACGCTTAACCGCTGAGCCACGCCGGCCGGGCTAGTTTTTGTTTTTCTTAAGGGGCGAGTTGGGTTTCCAGCGCTATTCTGGCTGAACGTGAGCGTCTCTAGGAGAATCCGTGCGCCCCACTCGGCCAGTGGCTGAGACGAACGCACTTTCGGGCACTTTTCCCTGCTTTTCCGTCCTTCGTCCGCGTCTGGCACTGATGGGCGCGGCTTTCCGCACAGAGCGGGTGGGAGGGAGGACCCGCCGCCAGCTGCCGGGCGTCTCCCGCTGGGCTCCGGCCCCTCGGGCCTCGGGGAGTCAGCCTGGGCCAGGGCTCCCGTCTGCGTGTTCGCAGTGACGGGTCCTGAGCGACGGTCCGTTGCCACAGCAACCCTCACGCACCAGTGCGCTCGCTGCCCGTCAGATTCAGGGCGTCCGGCCCAAAGATGCTCTCGAGCCCGTCAGCCGCCAGAGGGGCCGTTTTCTGGTTGACGGACTCGGAAACCCGACCCCTCCTGCGCCGGGTTCACTGGCCTGTCGCCTCCCACCAAGCGAGGCCGCCCGGCCACTGTCCCCGCCCTGCACCCAAGGGTGGGCGTCAGCGCCAGGCACTGCCCCCGGGTCTACCCCGTGAGGATGTGGGGCAGCGGGGCCGAGAGCAGGCTCTTTCTGTCTTAGGTAACTTTTGTATTTTGCAGTCACTTTAGATTTAGAGAGAGGTTCAGAGCCAGTGCAGAGAGCTCTGTTTCCGCCCGTCCACCGCGTCCCCTCGGTCACACTCACAAACCTGGGGCATCGTCAGAACGAGGTAGTTACCGGGGTCACGGCCTAAGTGAGGGTCAGACCTTCCTTAGGCTTGTGCAGCTCCCAGAGCTGTCCTGCTGGTCCCGGGTCCCACCAGGGTCCACCAGGGTCCCACCAGGGCACCACCAGGGTCCACCAGGGTCCCACCAGGGCACCACGTGGCATTCGGTCCTCACAGCACCTGAGTCCGACCTGGGACGTTTCCCGTTTTCTGTGTTGCCGTGAACCCCACGCTTTCGAGGATACGGTTCGGTCTGCAGGCTCCCCCTCACTGGGGTGTGTCTGATGTTTTCCTCACGACTTGGCTGGGGCTCTGGGTTTGGGGGAGGGAGACCCCAGAGTGCAGCCTCTTTGTCACCACATCGTCGGGGGCGCCTGGCGGCGGGGGACTGCTTGCTGATGCGTGGCCTGGACCACCCGTCTCCCTGGCACCTGCCCGGCTTCTCCAGCCAGCCTGCTGCCCTTCCTTCCACTCGCCACATCCAGCCAACAGGCAGGGCACCCAGTGCCCACCTCCTGGGGGGTGCACATAAATCACATGTAATTCTTCTGTAAGGGGTGCTTGTCCCTCCCCAACTTTATAATTTATTTATTTTTAATCCTCACCTGAGGATATTTTTCCCATTGCTTTTCAGAGAGAGTGGGTGGTGGGGGGAGACACAGAGAAACGTCTATTGATGTGGGAGGGACACAGCGATGGGTTGCCTCCCGCATGCACCCGCCGGGCCCGGGGATCCAGCCTGCAACCCAGGTACACGGCCTTGGCCGGACTCGAACCCGGGCCCTTTAGTTGGTGGGCGGACGCTCTAACCGCTGAGCCACACCAGCCTGCTCCCCTGCTCTACTCAGCGGTGACTCACCCACTTACCTGCACAGCAGGACGTGCCGGTCGCAATCCAAGGCTGCGCGGCTCGCACTGCTCCGCGGTGGCCGTCGGGCTCTCGCGGGGACGCCTGTGTCCTGTGCAGGAGGCCCGTCTGCTTTCCTAAGCCGGCACCGCTCACGGGCGCCCGTGCTGACGTGTCACGGATCCTGTTTCTTATTTACGGGACGATTCCTGTCACCGTTCTCCAGGCTATAACCCGCCGCATACAATTATTCTGTGTTTTAAAAAGAGAACGGTCTGCCCGGCTGGGTGTGGCTCGGCGGCTGAGCCTCATCCTAGGATCCGGGAGATGGAGGTTCGATTCCCGGTCGGGGCACAGGCCCGGGGTGCGGGCTCCATCCCCAGTCGGGGGCGCGCAGGAGGCGGCCGATGGGTGACTCTCATCATTGACGTTTCTCTCTCTCTCCCTCTCCCTTCCTTTCTCTGAAATCAATAAAGAGATATTTTTTAAAGTAAATAAATAAAATAAAAAGGGATTTTGCTGAGGGCGCTGGGAAGGCAGAGCCCTGTCGGCGCCAGCGGAGGGCTCGCCTGGGGCCCGGGCGCCGCGCTCAGGGGCCTCTCCTCCGCAGTGCTCTTCGGCGTCCTGTTTGACAAGAGCAAGGAGGCCGCCTTCGCCAACTACCGCCTCTGGGAGGCGCTGGGGTTCGTCATCGCCTTCGGGTACAGCACCTTCCTGTGCGTCAGCACCAAGCTCTACGTCCTCCTGGCCGTCCTGTGTGCGGCCATGCTGGCCTACGCCGCCGTGGAGGGCCTGGAGGCCAGGGCCCCGCCCGCGCCACGCCCCGTGGAAGCCACAGACGTGGCCCAGGGTGGAGAAACACAGACGGAGATGTGACAGCGCCGTGCTCCCCGCAGGGGGACAGCGTCCCCGAGGTCGCAAGAGGCCGCCGTTTGGAAGACGTGACAGAGTTTTATTTTTTTATGTATTTTTTCTATTCGGCCAAGTTTTCAGTCGGCCGTCTCCTCAGGACGTGGACACAGTCAGCCCACTTCAGACACAAAGAGAGAAGCTCAGGGTGCGATCGGCCGACGGGAACTTGCTGAGAATCACGGGATCCGCAACCTGGACTTGCTTTTGTGTCGTTGCCGTTGTTTTTAAGAATCGGAAGCCTGCTTAAAACAAGGCCGTCCGGCACCGCGAGGTCACAGCGTGGCGTCCGGCCGGCCACTGACCGCCTCCCCCAGGCGTAGAGGGACAAAGCCAGGCCCGAGTTTATGCTTCTTGAAACTTACAGGGGATGAGTTTCTAAATAAATAAAGTTATATTATGAACTTACCTCTTGCCATATACTTTTATTCTAAATACTCACCTAGAGAGCCCTGGGGGGAGAGGGTGGGGGCTGTAGGGGGAATAAACGGTGATGGAGGGAGACTTGACTTGGGGCGGTGAACTCACAATACAGGCTACAGGTGATGTGCTGTGGAATCAGGCACCTGAACCCTATATAATTTTGTTAACCAGCGTCACCCCAATAAATTCAATAAAAAATAAAAACACTCACCTAGATCACACACAGGAAAGTCATCACCTGGAAGATGAAGCATGTCGCAGACCATTGGAGGCCTCTGAGCAGGTGACAGCGAGTTAGACCGAAAACACGACTAACCCGGACGTGGGCGTGTCCGTTACCTGCGGTCAGCAGGTGAGCGGGTCAGCAGGTGAGCCCGTCAGCAATCTTCCTTCCCCGTCGTCTTTAATGGCCCGAGCAGCTGGCAGTGCCACCGGCTGCCTCTTTCTGAGCTCTTTGTTCTCTCTGTGTCGCTCTGCGCCCTCGGGGACCGTCTGGCCGCGGGCCCTGTGGTTTTCTCTTCCCCTCTCAGCCCCACGGGCCTCCTTCCCCTGCACCCCTTAGTCTGAGCTCTTCCCCACACCTGCCACCCGTCTGCGGTTTGGCCCGGCCTCCGCCCCAGCCCGCGCTCCCCCAGGGCTGTCAGGTCGCACTCGGGCCTACACCCGTCAGTGGCTCCCGTTTCCCACGAGGGGAGTCCATCCGTCCAGCGCAGGGGGCGCCAGGCGGCCGCCGGGCTCCTCTCAGGGGCGCTCTTCCCTCCAGACTTTCGCTCACAGCTTCCTGGGCGTTGGGGATGGCGGATGGTGGGCGGCTGAGGGAGCTGAGCGTGGGCCCACCCGGCTCAGCCCTGCTGCTGGGGTGCCCAGCGGCGCCTGAGCCTGGGGCTGGTGCTCAGCCCTCCGCCGTCGGGATCCCTGTGATGACCCAGTGACCACCTTCTCCTGTCCAGGGTCAGAGGGGACGTGGGCGGGGCTCCGAGTGCTCGCGGGAGGCGTTCGCTGGGCTGAATGGCTTTGCTGGAGGCTAACGCGTGGCCAGAGTCCTGACCAGGTGGCTGAGCACAGTCTCTGCTCTGCTGCTGCTGCCGGGGGAGGAAAACTCGCCAGGCGATGCCTGCGCCAGGAGCCCGGCCTCCCCGAGTGGCCCCGGGTGTCAGCCAAGCCGGGCACAGGCGCGGGCTGTCTGGCCGTCTGGAGAGCAGTTGGCTGGAGTCACGGACACTCTGGGCCCAGCAGGACCGTCCCATCTGCTGTGCGCGAGGCCAGCTGCTCGACCGGGCGTCCCAGGCTCCCTGGATACGGCCTGGGTCGTCCACTGGGGCCTTTTCTTTCCTCTCCATCCTTTAAACATCTGGGTGGAAAGGGTGTGTGGCTGTGCCCAAGGACCTGGGTGCGAGGCCCACAGTCAGGACCTGCACCGGCCCTCGTCTCTGCCTGGTCGGCGGATGAAGGATGAACGGCCCGTCCGCTTGGTCAGGTCCGTCCGCCAGCCTCGGCGTGTTAGAGGAAGGTCGGTTGTTTAGCCATGTCCTTAGTATCCCACCTGTGAAATGGGCCCATTCCCACTTCTGGGGAATTATTAAGACAGGGTGTGAGTGTGAGACACACGATGGAGACGTGAGAAGGGCCCTCCCGGAGACCGAGGCTAAACTGCTCGTGAATCTCTCAAGCTCATCATCGCAAACCTCAGCTGCACCCGATGCAACCATCGCGAGCCTCCTGGCCCGATGCCCAGGGCTCAGCAACAAATAACGCGCTTGTATGACTTGCTCGGAGTCATTAACGACGGCAGGATTCGAAAATATATAATGTATGAACGTTATGTCCCAGTGTGTTATTAAAAACCTCCTAAAAAGTCAAGGTTTATCTAAAAGAAAACTGGTAAAGAAATAAAGTTAAAAGCGTACAGTAAAGAAGGTAAATATGTCCACAACCTACGCGTAGCTCACAATGATTTACTCGAATGAGTCCTGAGTTACTAGCAGCCAAGGCAGCAAAGAAACGCGGGTTATATCACACTCGCTAAAAGGGGACTTACTAGTCTTTTCAAAGAGATTCCTAGTCTTTTCTAGGTGCTAAAATGTAGAGGGATTTCACACGGGTCCCAACTGCCTCCCGCCTCCGCATTAAATTACCTCCCCTCCAGCTTTTCCCGCTTGAACTCGTCCCGGGGTTACAGCCTGTCCCCCCGCCCGGCCCATTCCCAGCGCAAGGGGGAGGAACGGGGCAGGTGGCACAGCTGGGTGACCTGAACCGGGGCAGCCACCCGGCGGCCACTGAACTTCTCTCCCACGGGCTCAGCGCCCTGGGAGGGCAGGAGGCGGGAAGGGAGCGGCCAGGGGCCGTGGCCTGTGGGAGCCACGTGGGCCCAGCCCTGAGCTCCCAGGTTTTCCAGGAGACCTCGCTGCAGGCCTGGCCCTCCCGCCGCCCCCACGGCGGTCCCACGGCACCCCCCGGTGGGCAGGGTTTGCCACCGTCCCCGCAGCACAGGTGGGAGAGAAGGGCCTGTCTGCCCCCCGCCTGGTGCTCCCCAAGCCCGGCCCCACCGCAGCGTCCACGACCCCAGCCCTCCTGCCCCTGGCTCGGCGCCCCTTCCTCGCGACACCCAGCGGTTTCCTTACAAAGGTCAAACAAGACTATAAATGTAGGAATTCTAAGGCGGTCACCCCTCCACCTGGGGACGTCCACGTGCACCCGAGGGTGTGTGTGTAGAGAACAAGGCTCTCACTTAGGGGCCAGTTCTTTCCTTCCAGTCTCTGCGACTCTGTTTCTTCCTCCCCAGCCGGTGCCCTGAAAGGCGACCAGTGAGAGGACTGGAGACGTAAACTATGACCCTGAGGCCGCAGGCCTCACCGGGACCCCCCGAGAGAGCACCCGTGGGACCCAGCGTTGATTCCCACGCGGTGAGCCCAGAGCCCGCCGACGAAGTCTGTCCTCCGAGGAGAGCCCCTGAGCCAGGCCAGGGGGCATACTGGTTTTTCGTTGACCATTTTTTGTTCCAAAAAATTTTCTTCAACTTGACCAAACAGTCACCTAGAGTGAGGTGAGTTAGTGACAACCTCCCCTCAGAACGCCCAGGTGATTGTTGCTGTAGATCCTGGGCCCTGCGCCGAGCACTGTGCCCAGCAGCTTCCCCCTGGGGGCACCTGTCGGCCAGGCTTGAAAGGGCCTCCTGCTCTTGGGTTTCTGTCCCCGTGTCCAGTGTCAGAACCTTTCCGACCCCCCGTGTCACTCCTGCCTGACGAGAAAACCTATGAGGAGCCCGACGTCTGAAGCCCCAGCGTTTGTATGAAAACAGGATGCGGCTGGAAGGAGCCGCACAAAAGGCTCCACGTCCAGTTATAAGGCCAATAACGCGACAGGACACAGTTAACGTTATTCCTTTTAATAAGCAGGGACGCGGTTTCCTTCCTTCTATCGATAAGATGCCTGTTTATAGAGACGGGGGGGTGTCCACCTGCAGAAGCTGTAAGAACCCCAGGCGCCACGGGAGAGCCGAGTGGACCAGAAGAAGCTGAGCTCCGATGGGAGGGTCAGGAAAACCGCGGGGACAAATGGCCCATCGAGGGACCAAGAGGACAGAGCGCCACGTGCGGGAGACCCACGTGGCCCAAGGGGCCAGGCCCGCTTCCACGGCCTCCTGCCCCCGGCTGGTGCCCATCTCACGCTTCCCCAGCCAGGAAGCCGGGAGCAGGCGGCTCTTCCTTTGCGACTTCCGGACGACGCGGGTGGCGCGGGTGGTTCTCCGTCACTGGGGCCGTGAGTGTCATTCGTGTATTGTCCTTATTTTAACACCAGTGTAATCGACTGTCACACAGATGCTGTGTTTGGCGGATGGTCTACTTCTGGTCCAGGAGGAAGCTTCCGGTCCCGTCTCTGACCTTCACCCTCCCGGAGGCGTCCTTGGTCTCCTGGCGGCCGTTGCAGAACACCGTCCTGACGGTGCCGTCGGGGAACTCCCGCCTCTTGAACTGGGCCGTGTGAATGTCCCTCTGCCCGTTGCTGAACACGATGGTCTTGTCGCCGTTCCTGGAGAGAAAGCCGCGCTAGTGCGCCTCCCGGAGCCAGGGCGGCGAGGGCGGGAGCAAGGGGGGCTGGTGGCACGACCGCGGGGTGGTGAAGGCAAAAGCGGACCCAGGGGTTGACCTGGGGGACGAGCGCCAGGGGCGGGACTGGGGGGGCCGGTGGGGCCTGGTCACACCCTGTGCTGAGAGTTTCGTCCCGACGGGGAGGGGAGGCTGCCGAATTTCACCCAGGTGGTGACAGGAACATGAGAATCGTTCAGGAAAACGACCCCAGAGGCTATGAAGACGAATTTGACTGCTGAGAGGGGGACGGCTCTGCCACAACCTCCCGAGAGAAGCGACCGGGCCCGTGGCGGCAGAACCGCGGAGGACGGGGCCAGGGGCGCACGTCCCACACTCGGGCCCGTGGCTGTGGGCGGAGGAGCAGCGAGAGCCCGAACCCCGCAACCCACACAGGCACCCGGGGGGGGCGGGGATGGGGTCTTTGGGCGGCACATTCTGGCATCGGGACCCTAACCC